TATCTTGAGCCAATATGATGAACACATATCTTTTGCCAGAGTAATTAGTCCAATTATATGCACATTTCATGAATAAAATACAACTTTTAAAAAAGTGAATGAAAATTTAAAATGACCTAATTGGAGTAACATCTTTAATGGTTATTCAAAATGACAATTTCTCTCCCCAGTCTAAGGTGGCATTCATCCTGTTGATATCTACAAGTTAACACAGTATTTATTGCTTATTACTATAATATAGCGACTCTAAGGCAAAAGATGAGATAAAAAGAAATGTATAAAAGGAAATATCACAGAGAAATGAAAATAGAGACCTGGTCAAAGTACAGTAAGCCTAAATCCTAACTCACATGTAAACCTTATTGTTTGTAACATGGGACAATAAGTTTCTTTTACCTTAGAACAAATTGAATTGTTTTTGGCTATTTCCTAGTAATCTGTTATATGAAAATAGGTAATTAATTCACTGAGGCATCCATGTATAGACAGATATGTCAGAAGAGAACTTTATTATTTTTGATCATGCTTAAAACAATACTGATTTCTTTGTGTGCTAAGGAAAAAGTGCCAATAAGAAATTCTTTTCTTGCTAAGGGAAATTGCAAATATGAACAAGTTTGTGAAAGTTAATTTCACATAACAAAATAAGCACACTGACAATAGCATGCATACGGGCAGAGAGTATATGGGGAATTTCTGTACCTTCCTCTCAACTGTGCTGTGAACCTAAACGGTTCTAACATATAATGCTTTCAAAAATGCAATCTGAAAAAAAGTATCAAGTGCATTTCCACAACAGAGTAAACAGGAAAAGACATTAATAATGTGGCTGGTGTTGAGGTTAACACTTACAAACAATTGTACATGAAAGAGCCTCCAATATTTAACCAGCACTTAGGCTAAGTAATCAGGGCATCAGAGTGCAGTTTTCTAAAGAGTCTCGCCATACGGCTATAAAATATTATCTGTTGCTCATTCTACATACATGTTTATGATTAGGATTAGATTACATTTTAGTATTGCTCATTGGGTTGTCTTTAAGGCTTTTTTATTAGCATCTATAAAATTCAGGGTACTGCAATTTACTATACTCTTTTACTAAGTAGATACGTATGAACTCATTACCCA